AATTTGGGGTCACTGGGACACCAAGGGTAATAAACAAGAGATTAGATCTAAAAGCCAACAAGAGGAAGACAACTTCAAAGGCAGGGCAATATACAGACACACACAGGCAAGACAGTTTAATTAGCCAAACGGGAAGCCATGTCACATATAGTGTAACAAAGAAAGAAGTGAGTGTAGGAATTCAGACAGTAGAATTTTCTCCATCTTTAGGAAGCTGCTTTTCCCATTGGAGCAGAAAAGATGCAGGAGGAGGACAGATGGATAGATGGACCAATAGAACAGCACGAGAGGACCGGACCAGCCTACAAGGGCACATTTGAAATTGTATAAAATCAACTGAATGGAGGAGGACAGTGTTCCTTCTCGTCCTGAAGATGAGTTGAACGGTTTTGCTGTTGAGGTCAGGGCTTCAGATAGAGATGGAACCCAGAGCTCTGAAAATTGCTTTATTCGATGGTCTGTTTAGTTATGATAATAAATGTTTGAAAATTGATATTCGATTCCGATTATTCTTCATGAAAGAACATGCTGCATAGCATACAAAGAAAATTCTTGCCTTATGTGACACACTTCCTTCAATTCAGTTACCATTTAATGACATTTTACTGCCATACTGTGAACCTGTATTGTTGCAACTATGGAACTGTACAATATAATAAAGGGGTAAAATGAGTCCGTGGTAAGTTTACAACTTATTCTCTCAGCATGTTTGACCCTTAGCTCTCCTTTTTCAGCAAAAAGGAAACATGTGACACACTGAAAGTATCACTTGACTCAACTGTAAGTTACAAGCCACAGATGGGGGGTGAGGGATGCCTGTCTGTTGGATTAACCTTTTTATCTGACAATATAAGATGAGAGATGGCAAAGAATCAGACAGTAACTGTTCTACCAAGAAAAACCTATTCACTCTTCCCAGATCATGTCTTCATAAATTAACAGAAAATGACCCAGGCACTAAATTATCTTAAGACACAAACAACATTTCCTCTAGATACAGCCTGTATATCGACCTGCTGTCCCAGTCCTCCAAAGGGCAGGCCCCTATCTGGAGCACACTATTACATTATCTTCTCATTTAACCTCACCCTGAGGGGTAAACACAAACAAAACAGAAGGCCACAGCTACTGCAATTTAGCTCAAGGCTCCACTGACCTTACTTATTTGTATATCAACTAGCCCTGAAGGAGCTGCAGTGTGGGATTAACCAAGGAAGGAAACTTTACTAAATACAGTATATCTGTCTTGTCCACAGGTTTCTAATACTTTATTGTAAAATACATACTACATTGTTACTGTAGATCAGTCATAGCCATTTCAGACCTTGTTTATAAACTGGAAGTACCATGCAAAAAATTTTATATTAGTGCATTTTAAGAACAGCACCTCAATACAAAAAAAATATAGCTGTATAGCACTAAAAACGTGTTCATGTGTAAAGATTGCATTTACCTTTATGCATATCACTCCAGGGAGTGAACTGATGCGCTGCTCTATGGATTGGACACAGGAGCCACAAGTCATACCCTCCACTCCGAGGGCGACTGAACACAGATTGACCTTCTGTGTCATGACTGCTTAGTCTAAAAGGACACAAGAAAGCTCAAGCTTATTGTCATTTAAAGTCTTTGGCTTTAAAACAAAACCACAGAGGGAAAGCATCATAAAGTCAGGCTAAATGATGATTGAGACTGACAGGATCGTCTGTCAAAATGTAAAATAAAAACTCAACTAAAACCATATCACAGTTGTATTACAATTTTGGGGAATTAAAACAACATAAAGCTTGGTTATTTGTACATTTATAAGTATTTATGAGTATATAGTACTATGCATTTCTAAAATGTTCTACTGATACAAAATGTGCTATTTCATACCTACTGGACTGGCGCTTCCAGGAAATTAATGTTCAAAATGGTAAAGTATCAAATAATACAGCTGTGTAGAAACAAACCACAAATCTTGGGTCCACACCAATGCTGTCAGATTAGATCCATTTATAAAACCTGATAACCTGTAATCACTCTTTCTAGGGAAGGTTATTATTTCCATGTTTAATTGCTGCTTGGATGGAATGACCGTGTTATCAAGCAATTTTTGTCAAACAAAGACAGCTTAAGGTTCATTTCACCACATTCAATCCTCTCAAATCCAGTCATGCACTCACAGAGAATATTATTTAAGGGGAAAGAAAGACACATAGCATCACAAGGATCATGGTGGATTCCCAAATCACCTGTCGCGTTGGTATCAACTCAGCATTTACTGGAATATGACAGTGGTCAACTTCTCTTGAGTTGTGAGAGACATGTGCCACATTAATACAACTGTCTCTTTAGTTCTCAATCTCGGTCATATGGAGTCTTGTGGCCTTTTGGTTGCAAAGACTTCCCTATATTTATAAACACGAGTTTCAATGTCAAACTTTGCTCATATGTGAGACACCTAATCTAACTAAGATACCTAATCAGCGCTCTTAATGGAGTGACAGGGCAGAACACCAGCAGGGACCTGGGTCTCTATATCACACATGTAACTCACTATTTATACTGTACATTTCAGCCAACATATACCTACCTTGGGTGCTTCTTTAGGGTCAGGAACGTACCCATCACAAACTGGCTACAGACAGTCATGTAACAAAACAAATTGTAACGAATTGTGACTTTTGGTGAGTAAGTTTCTCTTGCAGTATTTCATTAAGCGTTAGCTGATGATGGGGGGTTAACAGTAGGCTGACCTGACTAACGTTATGCTAAGTAATAAGTTTACGTCTGCTGTCGCCTGTTTGTTGAAAAACTTACAAAATAATGTATGAAGTGTTTAAAGTCAGCTATGGAGTTAACAAGAAAATGTACCTGCCCATACACACGTAAGCAACATGTGATGTCTGTTAAAACACAACTAGCGTTACAGTAAACCTTAAAGGAAATGGTCAACTCTTACCTTATTCAAGGGGAAGTAGCCAAATGACTATTCCAGCCTACTGAAGCTGGCTAACGCTAAGCTAGCAAACTAGCTACTTTACTTTACCCTTTACAAGCAACACTACGAACAAGACACCGCATCGCACGAACTGTCAGGACCAACAGAGAGTGCTTAAATAAATAGCTTTCCCCCGTGTTATCACAAAACCTCATCTGTGTAAACTGTTTTCCTTCGCTCTTCGCATTCCGACAGGACTGACGGCTGCACACTGCTTCGTCAGAGCCAAGAGGTGGAGCTGTACGAACGGACTCCATGGCAACAACGATGGGATAATGTCGCCCTGATTATGACCTCGCAGGTTGTATTTACGCCATGTAGAGTACAGCTACCCTGGTAAAATGTAGTAACTACATATTTTATGAAAACGGAGTTAACACCAGAATACAACATTTCGACATTTTACCTTACAATAGAAGTTACTGTGTCATCAAATGTTTACTTTTGGAAGGAGAGAGCATGGAAAGTTAAAAACTATAAAACACAGGTAACAACCAAACTGCAGTGATTATAAAATGCATAAAATTTAGTTTTATTTGTTAAACATTTTAGCTAAGTGGCATTTGGTAGTTCTGTAGCTACTGTGTTTGGACTTGACTAGATTATATTCTGCAGATTAGGCATAGATATTGGTACATTTATGGCAGTGGTTTTGCTAAGCATACCTTTTAAAATGAAGTGTCAGCCTAACAGAGAAAGTTCAGGGTAAAAATTAAGCTATCTAGTAGGATTCAGCAGCATGGTCTTCATGAATCAGTTGTCCCTCATCTTGTCCCATATTTAAATCTGTATAGTCATTTTTGCCCTGTCATTATTCCTGTGGCATGTGTGGCCAGAAATCCCAGTTACAGTGTACATGTGAAATGTGATGTCTCACCATTAGTCACAATGTAGTTTGATAAACATGAGGCACCTTAACACTGTCTTAAAGTTTTGAAAAGTTACACTGGTTGTGCTCAGGATGGTGCTTTAAACTAGGGATGATTTTAGAGCAAACTTGCATCTTGCCATCCAGTCCATTTGGTCTCACCATGAATAAACCTGATTTAGTGTAAAGGATGTGGGTCTGCCATCTGCTGTCTGCTTGTGTTACAGAAATTCTTTTACCTGGAACAATATTCCCACACTGAACATTACACTTTCATGTGCTTTTACACTTTTATACGAGTATCAGCTCATCTACTCATGCTTAAGTTAGTTTCTTACATTTCCCAGGACAGTTTCATAGGGAGATGCTCCACTTGGATTTGGTCTATTCAGTCAGTGGTCAGTGATACTCATGTTGTAGGCTACGGAACAAGATTTCCCACTTGAGTCATGTAAGAGACACACCTTCACAGAAACACAATGAAATGAAAACCTCAATATTTTGCCCTAAACTACAGTATTTAATTTGATTTTCAGTTGCAGAATGAGAAAAACAGTTAAAGGTTTCTTAAAGGATTTAGGTGGTGTTATAGCATATCGAATATCTTTAGACATTAAATCAGCACTCTCTCAGGTCAAAGGTTGTTGTCATTTTCCTTTGTTTAACTGCTGCAATTTCATTGAAATTAGCATTTAAAGTTTATTTTCTATGCTCAGAGTCTGAAGTTGATAACTAAAGTTATTTTAATTAAAAACCCCAAAGATGCATTGTCCAATTAAAAGTTAAAATGAATCCTATAATGCCAGGAAGATCACTTAGTAAAAACAGTGTTAAAAGGATTTATAAATTTCTTAACTTGTCTTTACAGGGTGACATCAGAAATATGCAGACTGTGAAATAAGAACATTGTGATGTTTAAGCTTATTTTTACATATTTTCAGTGTAACTATATTCAATTACAAAAATGTAATTGTAATCAGTTATAGTTTACAGAGAAAAAAGCTATTAATTACAGGTGCTAATCAAAAGGGGATACATTCAAATATACTGCATTCTTTTTAATTAAAAAGTAGAATACAGTATAATATTCATTCTGTTGCTTTATATCTTTTTATTGCCTTCTTTTGGTAGCCAATAATAACACTACTATACAGTAATCAGAATCAGCTTTACTGGCCAGGTGTGTTGGACACACGAGGAATTTGACTCTGGTACAGTGGCTCTCAATGCATATGTACATGGCCTTATGTAAGGCAGCAGTGGGCAAGTAAACAATATAAGGCTGAGAACAGAAGTAAAGTGCAATCAAGCAATGGAATGTGACTTAGGAATAAAAATAAAGTACTATATACACACAGTCTGGATTCAACGGATTGATATGTACAATGTATATTTACAGGTATTGCACTGAGGGTTATTGTCCAGTCATACTGTCATGGATTAAGTGTTCATCAGAGTGACAGCCCGGGGGAAGAAACTGTCCCTGGTTGTCTTGGCGTACAGTGACCTGTAACGCCGTCCAGAGGGGAGGAGTTCAAACAGATTATGTCCCGGGTGTGAGGGGTCTGCAGAACTCTTCCCCGCCCTCCTTTTGACCCGTGAGGTGTACAGGTCCTCAATGGAGGGCAGGCTCGCACCAATGACCTTTTCTGCAGTCCTGACTGTTCGCTGGAGTCTGTTCCTGTCCTGCTTGGTTGCTGAGCCAAACCAGACAGTGATGGAGGTGCAGAGAACAGACTCGATGATTCCTCTGTATCAGGAACAGTAAACTTGTTTACCAGTGGTGAAAATGCTCAATGTCAAACCTCAAGAGGCTATGTATTTCTACCTTAACATTATATTATGTAATTTCAGTTGTGTTGAATATTTGTATTTTATTTCATTAAAAAAAAAAAAAAAAATTGACTATCACCGTAGTCAGTGTTGAGTAGCATTGAAAGGTTTACACTGCCTGATTTTAAATGATGTTTTTAGGACTTTTCAAATGTATTTAGTTAAAAACAATTTTTTTTATGTGCTAGAATTGTAATGTTAATACTGTGAAGTAATTACATGACATTTTTAACAACTAGTAATTTGTAACTCATTACATTTCAAAAGTAACCTTTCCCAACACATTTATTATAATTCAGATGTGCTTTATTATTATAGATGGTCAGTCCTCTTCATCTAGAAGCACTGGTTAAAACAGGTGGGGGTTTTTAGCACGCATCTTTACTGTTTAAAATAGAGGCCTTTGTACCAAAAGCCTGCTGATCAGTGTTTCATTTGTTATTTTATGCAAAAACAGTTCTGATGCATTACAAATAGGTACACAGTGTTTAATGTTACATGTAGCACCTTTAAAGACTGGCACATGTAGCACCTTTAAAGACTGGCCTTGCATTTGACCATTACACGGATTTCACACACACACACACACACACACACACACACCTGATAGGTTCGCTCAGCTTAGGAAGAAACCTGCTCCATTGTATCAGCAATGTATTTTACGTATGCTGTGTTTAATTCTCAGTAAAATAGATGTTTTATTAACTTATATTTTTCCATTTTCCTGCAACTCTAACAATAAAAAATAAGATCTCAGCCAAGTTAATGTTTACCGACTTTGTCCAGTTTGACCTTTCTGCAACTCTTCCTCTTCAACACTAGGAGGCAGCAGTGATCCAACTCAGGACATTACATAAGTAGAGATGTTACTGTACTCTATAATGAAGCATGCCCCTGATAACTCAGCTCTTTTTACAAGTGCACTGGGCTTGTGGGCAGCGTTTCCATTTAATAAAAAAAAAAAAAAGTTTTTAGCTTAACCTTTTTCTCTGCACTTACCTTTTTGATTGTTTGATCTTGATGCCTCATCTGAAATATAATAAACTTGTGTTTTCCTCAGTGACAAGATGCATTGTGACTGTTTAGCGTATCGATGTGAGAGGAATAAGTTCAACAAGCTAAGCATTTTCTTCTGGACAAGTACCACTATATAGCAGGGTGGGTGGTTGACTAACCAGATTATCAGTTTTCTCTGAAAACCTATCAGGAATATAACAAGTTTGTGTTCTTTATGGCAGCTTGTTATAGAAGGAGAGGCCTACTTGCTCCAGTTGAAGATTTGTATTTCTCTGACTGCATTTATGAGAAAGAAACATCACTCTGTTCAGGCATACACCCTCTTGTGAGCCAGTTCAGAATATTTAGAATAAATAATATTCTTAGGTTTTTGTTCTTCATGTTCAGCAAATCTCTGCTCCTCATGTGTGCGCAGACCTCTGAGAGCTTTCAGTAATGACATCCAGTGTCATTTCATCCCCCACAATATCAGAGGTGGTGAAAGATGGGGGATAAATGTCCACAGGGCTCTCCAGGGTGGGAGAGGATGGGGCAGACAGCCTGAAGCGTTTGACCTGCTCTCCACCCCTGAAGCTCCTCCACTCCTTGATCCACTGGTCCCTCGAGAAGGGGTCCAGCTTGTCCAGATGCCTGGCTTGCATGAGCGGGGTGGGGTTGATAGAGTTCCTCAGCACGTGAAACGTGTACCTGAGGGAGAGTGTGCGGTGGTGAGAAAGTAGGCCAATGAAAAATATGCAGCCTTGTGCTGTAAATCAGTGTTTTCTTTAAATATTTGCACTTTCAAATGCAGCAACTCAGGGGAGGACTGAGCCCTTCTGCAGCTGTTCCTCACTTTTACAATATTCAAATACTAGTCAGACTTGACTGTCTATGCACCTTAACAGTTTTACAAAAAAACTGCCGTCTATTTGATATTATATTGTGGCACTGTATAGCTGAGTTTAAAACAATTTTCCCACAGTGTATAATTACTAGGTTTAAACAAGGACAGAGGAAAGAACAGAACAGTGGTTTCCAAACTTTTTAACTTGTATCCCATAAAAGTGAATAATGTCAACTTGTGATCCCTCAGCAGAGATGATCACCTGGATATGGAGATGTCAAGAGTTGAATCAAAAAGAGAAGAGTTTTAAAAATAATCAGATTTCAATGTTTCTCTGATCCTTTTAATCATCTTGTGTCGCCCATCGAGATTTAGCCTGGGGAACAACTGGACTAAAGTACTGAACTCAAATTTGATGTACAGTCAAGTAGAAACAGACTGGAAACTGCTCAAGTGAAGGTGTGGAGACTCAGTTTCATAGAGGAGAAACTCTTAAGCCCATCTAATGTAATTTGCCACTAGCAAAAGGATTTATGTGCTATTATTATTATAACTGTGTATGATGTGCAACAATCTGTGTAATTTCCTTGTGCCGTCTATTTGATATTATATTGTGGCACTGTATAGCTGAGTTTAAAACAATTTTCCCACAGTGACACATGTGGCACATCTTAAATGATTATTCCACCAATAGAAAGTTCATTAGGAACCATTTTGACAATTCATTAACACCAAGTTATAAACATATGCTTGTTCCAGCTTCATTGTGAAAATTTGCTGCTTTCTCTGTTTTATATCATAGTCAACTGAAAATAAATTCAAGTAAAATAGGAAATTGCTCAAAACGTACATTTAAAAACAAGTGGTGCGATGACAAAAGCACATTCAATTCTTGCCCTCTGGTTTTCCAGAGCAGCAGAAAGCGGGTGGGTAACAGTGACAGTACCTGGGCAGCAGAGCCACCACAGTAGAGATGATGCAGATTAGGTAGAACATGGGGTCGGCCATCTGCCTCTGGAGGATCCAGTACGGGTTGGAGGGAGGGTTACAGGTGATGCAGGCGGCACTGTAGGCAACTGTCACGATGAAGTACAGCCCTACACTGCCCACCATGATTAACCAGTGAACCCATGTCTATGCAAGACAAATACAGCAATAAGACGATTGGGGGAGACTGCCTGTTAATTACAGATTTTTTAAAAAGTGGATTCATATAAACCCAAATAAACATTACCAGTTTCTACAGTACACAAATAATTGTTTTGTATTTTAGGTGTCAAGTTGGGGACTATTTAAAGAAGTTTTTTTTGTTGTTGTTGTCGTCTCACTACTGTGATTACATCTAAAAAATTAAAATTCATCAGTTCAGTACTCACCCAGGCTTTGATCTCTATTGACAGATGCAGCAGGATGGTAAATAAAGAAATAGTATTCAAAGGAGTTCCAAAGGTAAAAAGATCAACGTCTGAATTCCAGTAAGCCTGAGGGAGACGTGTCAAATTTTAGGCAGAGAACAGTTAACTAGTAAAATAACTCAAACAACGCACTAGGACAGATGCAATGTTTCGATGTTTCTCTTACCATGTATGGAATAAAGAAGCACACCAGACTCTGATAGAAGGCATCAAGAATGGCAACCCAGAAGGTTGAACTCTTGTATTCCTAAACAACACATAAAAGCATAATGTCAGTGTGTTTTTATGTTCAAGAAGTAACTCTAGAGTGAGTGGCACTGACCCCTGCACCCTGTCCGGTCTTGTACAGCTCAGGAACACCCAGCAGCATCTCTGCCGAAACATCATTGTCCATGATCCCAAACATGATGGGCGGTACGGAGGTGAAAAGGAGGTTGAAGAAAATCAGCAGCCAGTAGTCGATCATAGTGGTGCCGGAGAAGCCACAGAAGAACTGGTACCAGAACAACATGTTCACATAGGCCTGAGAAATGCAGTCAGCTGATTAGATGAATGCTCCATGCAGAAGGTTGATGCAGACAGCAGAGCGATGAGGTGAGACTCACCACATTCTTATAGAAGAAATAAATGATCATGTTGGCCAGCCGAGTGTGGCACCAGTGTCCGTGAACCAGGAGAAGTTTTTTCAGGTGTTTGAAGTGAGATACAGCAAAATCACTGGCCATGACCGCCTTCAAGTGACAAAAATGAGTCATGATACAGTTTGGGCAGTGAGACTAGCAGAAGATGGCTAGTGTCTGTCTGGTGTTTAGATTTTTGTTATTTTGTGTAAAACACCTTGATCGACTTGTAGTTGCATTTAAGTGCTATTTAAATGTTGATTTGATAACATTTGTAAAAGCTAAATATTACAGACCTGCATGCCCTCCTGACCCAATATCCCAATGCCAACGTCAGCTGCCTGGATCATGTTGACATCATTTGCACCATCACCTGAAGCCACAGAGTGAATATCAGTTTATCAACAGTTACAGTCGGAGATCTATTAAAACATATTGTTTTATTAGGTTCTCAAGACCTGAATCCACTGTAATGTTACCTACTTTATCCTAGAATGACAACATCCTAAAACACTTTGCAATGGTAATTAAGTGTATACAGTAACTTTGTTTTTTGTTGAAAACTGACCAAGCATGTGATGCTGAACATGAAAACAAAATGACTCTATGGCCTTCTATATCCTTAAATATCTCAGTAATGTTTAATGTGGTAATTAAACTCAAACAGCTTGCAAAACAACTGATTTCTTTGTCACTTCAACTTGATACCGTTTTTGAAATTGAGAGTGTTTTGCATAGAGGACTGATTAAAAGGAATTACATGAATAGCTCTGCATGAGTTTCTTACCAACAGCAAGGGTCATGACCTTGAGTTTATCCTGGACCACCTTCACCACATCGCTCTTCTGTAAGGGTGTGACACGACAGCAGACCACAGAGCGGCAGCGCTTCGCCAGGTCCACAAAGCGGTCCTGCAGGTCTGATGAAAGAGCCATGGCCAGGGTGTGTCCATCAATCACTAGAGAGATGTCTGGGGTTGTATCCACATTACGAGGATTCTGGCTGTACCTCCTCACCTCCTCCAGAGTGCAGTCCAGGATGGATGTACATGTGAGCTGAAAAATCATCTGCTGGATTAGTTGGTCACATCATTATCAAATACCAGAGCTGCTGTACAGAAAACTAAAACACTGAATATTTGCTTGTTATTGCTCCTCAAATAAGTCCTGCTTCTCTTGGTCCTATATGATTGTAAATGTAAAAAAGCAGCATTGCACAGTTGATCATAGAAAAACAATAAAATATCATGTTGGGCTTTAAGAAACCTGGTATGGGCTTGTTTTTAAAAAAAAAATAAAAAAAATCAGAGTCTAAGATGGGCAGAGTAAATAAAAATAACATTAAAGGACCATTCCACTGCAGAATCAGTATAACTGTCAGACTGGGCCCATCAGACTCACTGTTGTATAAATAACACCCATTTCTCATCCAAAAGAAAAACTGACATGAGGAAACGTTTTCTATTCCATCTTCATCTACTGCTGGCTAAATTTCATTAGGTGTGGTAGGGTGATGATCGTGGGAGTGCATCCCTCAGGTGGTCACCGAGTTACGGTGGTAAAAATAGTTCATGAACAACTTGCCTCTACTTTGAGCCATGAGAGCAGTATTTCCTCTGAGGGTTGAATATTAGACTGGTAATTGGATATAAAAGCATTAGTTACTGTGATGGGGGCACGCTCTGCATTCATCATCAATGACAAGTCTCGTTTGAGAGAAGCACCGCAGCCCCCTTTGTTCAAGAAATCTCCACATGTATCCGTCAGAGCTGTTGGACAGTTTTGGTTCATTTGAGGCCAGAGATGATTAGACATGGCCAGGCTGTTATAAAGGGCTCTTTCCTGTGCTACCAGCTCTTTAACTACCTCTACCCACGCCTGACACCTTAGCTTTCTCAGATAGAGATGTGACTTTGACCTTTAGTGAAAATGCACAAGTGGACAAAAAGGTTTGACCATTTAAACTGGAGAGAGACAAGCTCACTGGAAAAACCTTCAAGATGAAATTCCATGACCATCACAAAGAAGAAAAGTCAGTGCTGCCCTCAAGTTACATTTTACTGTGCAGTTCAAATATTCAGGCAAGTACACTATTTGTACGGCTCAAACAAATTAATTTACCAACAGTTTATGGGTTTCTCTCTTGAGACCCTTGCTATTTAGGAACCTGCTGTCAGCCTATCACTATATATTACACATACCTTTTCTGTATGTGCACTGTAGTGCATTTGTAAGAATTCAGCAGTGGAGCAATCAGGAAAACCAGCTCTGAGTCACCAGGCCTGAACATTGCCTGGCAAACTGTGACCTCCTCACCTTGTCTTTGCAGCTCATGTTAATCACCAGGTCTTCATCTTTGAGCAGACTGCAGGCATAGCTGATGTTGACAGCTGTCTCTGGCTTGTCACCAGTCAGCACCCACACCTGGATCCCTGCCTCTCTCAGCGCCACGATGGTGTCAGGGACGCTCTCCTGCAGACGGTCTTCGATGCCCGTTGCCCCTGTGGGAGGACACAAATTGAGTTAGAGCCTATCACACACACACATATTTATATATCGTATGTTTTTCCAGGTGCTTCTTGTGAACACTTTCTGATACCTAGCAGAGAGAGTTTTGTCTCCAGCTGCACAGCAGTGTCCATGATGAGCTCCTCTCGGTCATTTATAGCAGCCAGAGCACTCCTTCTCTTCACTGACCAGCTTTCATATACTTCGTCACTTACAATCTGAAGGACATGAAGAAAATAAAATAAAGCTCTTCTCTTATAAGGAAATGATGCATGTAAAGGTTGATGGATCTGATTATGCACCTTCTTTGTAAAGCAAAGTGTACGCAGGCCGTCTTTAGCATAGCAGTCGAGGTGATACTGAGTATCAGCTGCTATATTCTTCTGAATCCCACTGAGGTGCTCTGAAAATGACAATGTATTTATACCGTTTCATTGTGACCCATGATGTTTCAAATGTAAATAATTTAATAAGTGTACTTTCTCTTGCACACACACCTGCATATGGTGTACCAAGCAGCTCCATGATGGCATAGTCGGCACCTTTAGTGTACAGCACATGCTCTTTGGTGACTGGGTGACGCACCAGAACGGACATTCTCTTCCTGTTGAAGTCAAAGGCCAAGGTGTCCAGCACCTCAAAGACCAGGTCCTTCCCAGATGGGAGCCTCACCGTCACGCTGTCAGGGGTGCGGGCCATCAGGGTGAAGCCATATGCCTTGGCTGCATACACCAAGGCTGCCTCGTCTGGACTCTCTGCCTCATAGCACAAATTATCTGAGGTCAATGCAGACTGGTTGCACTCAGATGGAGCGTGGAGCGAACATGTTTCAATCCCATCAGTGTCTCTGGTCTCCTCCATTTTTACAGGAGGATTGAAATGGTCCTCTTCTACAACCGAGTCCTCTGAGAGTTTTCTCACTGGGTTGCGGTTACAAAAGGTAAAAACATGACGAAAAGAGCCAGCCTTTTTCACCAGGTTTGACAAAGTGTCCAGTGGATTACTTGTCTGGCCACAGTGTGAAAACCTCTTTACCTGAAACAGCAATTTGAACGTCATAATGCTTTTATAGACATGTTGCCCAAACACACACACACACACACACACACACACACAGATGACAAAACTGTTTGAGAAGTTATATAAATCCACTGTTTTTGTACTTTTACCTTTAACTCAAGGGAAAACCCATGTGCACAAGCTCTGCACAGCACAGTCAGGAACAGCAAGTGCCCAAATTAATAAAGGCAGCCCTGATTGCCCCTGCAATTCTCCCTGTACTATGCGGCTAATTTAGTGAAGCCTCAGATCCTTCTTAACTTAGGCTTTAAAGATGAAAGAAAATTAGCACCAACCACAGATGAAAGAAGATACTTTAACAATTTAAGAAGTTTTGCTGCAGTACTGCAGGGATGTTGCTGCACATCAGGTTTATGGATTTATAGAGCTCAGAAAATAATGAAGTTAGATTCTCCTCAGTGTTTTCTGGATCATTGTTTGATAAGTTTACATATTTGGGAGTTTGAGCAGAGCAAATCCCTAGTCCACCTTCGCTCTCCTGACTGTGTCCTTCATCTCTACTTCCCATTCACAGCAAACAGAGCACTCACCCTCTGTCGCTGAGCGGTTGCTGTGGAAACCACCACTGTGTTGCAAATGGCAAGAGCCAGAAAAAAGTCCAGGTAAGGATCCATCTGCTGCCTGCCACTGCTCTCTGTCTTGCTAATCTTCTGAAGCAGTTTCCTGTCTGGAATCACCTCAGTTTCCTGTTGGAGTAAAAGTTAATCAAGTTTGTTAATTAAAAGCTCAGGGTGATAAACAGTTTCTTGCATATGCTGATTTGTCATGAAAGAATTGTTAAAAAAAAATTGAGCTTAACATTTTTCCTCTGTTTGTGCAAGGACATATTTAGAGCAAGTTCTCATTCACACACACACACACACACACACACACACACTCTGCTCAGAGACAGAATGAGGAAAGCTAGAGATGGGCTCTGTGTGACCTTGCTGGAATAAACAAGCCTTTTTGTGTCTTAGCCTCTTCCTGCAGGACACTGCTCTTTGCCCTGAGGACAAAAATAGACAGAGCTACTGTACTGTCCACCAGGATGACTAACTAATCTATAGCACATGTTTACAGTTTATGTGACATCAGTGGTCTGTGCCAAATTGTGCCCAGCATGACCATATGTTCAGTCACGGACACAGGAGCCACTTCAAGCCAAAATGGATGTGCTCATCACTGACACCTAACAGTTCGGCCATCTGCAGTGGAGACCGAGACCATGACACCTTTTGACACAAGGAAGGGCGAGACTTGGAAAAACAAATGGCCAACTGAGGTCTTCTGAGTGTGGATTCAATATGTAAGGGCTAAAATTTGAATTTTCAAAGTCAGAGTCAGTTACTAATTGGAAAAGTTTGAATGGGGGGGGAGAAGCAGAACCAGTATTCTGTTAGGTTGATGTACAGCTTCGAGTCACAACAACAAAAATCAGTGATGAATGGATTTTCATGCAGAGTAACACTGATACAAATGTAATCGTCCCAATTATGGTTATTTATTAAATAATAAAATCAGCTTTGTCATTATACAGCTTGAAGCCTACTCTTGCCCAGTGAACAGTGGTTCCTGGCCTGTGTGCAAGACAAGTAGTTTGTAAAATGCATGTGTCGGAACATCTTAGTGGCCTACGTCAGTGGTTGAAGACCTGTAGGTGGAGACCCCCCAAAAGCATTGCAAGGTCTGTTGTATCCAAGATGATTACAGGAAGTGAACTAAAAGAAAACATTTCTGTTGACATTCCTCGTCTTTGCTTTCCTGCAAAAATATTATATAATTTTACTTCTTCAGGCAACATGTGGAGTCCCAAGTTGAACCTGCTTTGTTTTAAAGGTTACATCATACATCACTGGCCTTGGAGTGTAGGGTTTAGATCATTTGGGACCCATGCTGGTTCAGGCCATGAACTCAATTAAGGAATAATTTTCCCTGTACATCAGTGTAAAATGGTAAGACAAGACATCTGCATGCAGCCCTTCTATCCCCCTATATTGGGTTTAATTGGAGTTCAAACTTCCTTTGATTTCGAAAACTTTATTTGCCCTCCTCAGCCATGATTATGACTACGAGGACACTTGTTAATCAAGAAGAAAGTCTAAATTGTGGGCCCCCCTAGGTGGCCTTGCATGAACTACTCGAGTTCATCAAGTGAAACGCTGATGACCATTTTCCTCATGGCTGCTTACAGTAACCCTGTGTTGGCCACCTCATATTATGAAGGCAATCAAAACCATAAGCTCAGCCCACTGTGAATTAAATATCGGTGCTTTCTTCCTGACCGAGCAATTGTCTTACCAGTGGACTGCTGAAAGCCACACTGCTATCGGCATTCAGTGAGATCTTGCTCTTGCGTCGGCCACCATGATGATGTCGTGCGTCTTCAAGGTTGGTGTCCTCAGCTTCCAAGGACCATCCAGTCTGTGGGGTTCGTGGCGGCTGGTCGAAGATGACCTCCTCCTCTGAATCTGGTTCATCAAGGACAGCTAGGCGGATGGCTGCAAATCCCCAAAAGCATGTTGATATTGTACAGCATGCACTGTATATTACATCAGTCATGTTGCCATGTGACCATAATGAGCACTTTTTATGTAACCACACAACGGCCATTGTTCCTCTGATGGATGTATCCTCACTTGTGCTGGTCACTGTAATCATTGATTTTATGCTGTATAAAGCAGCTGTCACAGACATTAATAGATGATATTTAACGGAGGGTGGATATTTTTATGTTTAATGTGGTATGGAAACAGTGTTCTTTATTCTGGTGAAGTGGTCTCTGGCTCCCTCTCCCCCTCAGCCCACCGAGCCCAGGGCTGTTAAAGCTAGCTAGCATAAACACCAGCTTCAGTTTGGAAATGCAGATCTGCCAAGGTAACATAGTGGGTGCTGGTGAGGCCTTTTTTTTTTTTTTTTTTTTTTTTTTTAAATCTTAGGGAAATGTTGGACTGCAACTTTGCTCTTAAACCCCATTTTCCCCAGTGCAGTGCTGAACCAGAAACAGTAATACACCCTAACCCCTGAATCGCCATGTCATACCTACGGCACTGTGAAAAGGGCCCATTGCAGTTTTACAGGAAACCCCTTCAAAATAAATGACCCTTGAAAAGAATAATAAAATATCTCAAACTCAGCTCCAGGGTAAATGCATAAAGAGCCTCATACAACTACACATGGATTGAAGCTAGGCAGCACAAAGATGAATACAAAAAAAGTCTCTCTCTCTCTCTCTCTCTCTCTCTCTCTGGAGAAAGGGTAATCAACATCATAAGTCTTGTATTACTAACCATGGCAAGGCATAACAAGAAATACAACATACTGAGCAAATCAGGAAATGTATGCCAACCAAGCAGGTGATAAACAAGCTCAGTATCAAAACATACAGCCAGGGGAGCAACCGTGCAAGACTGGAACTACACTACAAATACAACAAAACTATTCTTACACTGTTAAAATTAGCAGGACAAAAGGCCAGGGAAAGTGCCATTCTAAAAGTAGCATGCTCATAATATGTGCTAGCATTACAGACATGCTTATATCCCTGTATTAGTATGACAGTACATTACAGTTTTATGCCAATGGTATTTACCAGTGTTATCTTGCAGCGTGCTATGTTAGCATCACCCAAGTGTCAAAGTAATTCATTAATAAGTTCTCTGACATTAGAAATGTAGGTAAATGTTTTATTCAGAGCTTATGTTAAAGCTACAATATTTAACTTAAGGTAGTGATAGCATGATACTCCAAATCAATCCACTCTGCTCTGCCCAGTACTCCCTCTCCACTACAATCTACTACGCTCGGTCATGCTCTGCCCAGCTCTTCAGAAATTTGCCATTATGAAATTACAATAAATGAGAATGCAATTCAACCAAACTTACTGATCAAGCAGAAATAACTGAAAATCTCTGATTGGCTAGAGATGTCGGTCCTAACCAAAACCTTTTAGAAGCCAGTATCTCTGCACTGCTGTTCAATGAGTCTGGGTCACAGAACTTCTCCATTTTACAAGTTTCTACAACAAAAAAGTAATGTACTGTAGCTTTAGTAATGGCCAAAGTACTGTAGCTTTAGTAATGACCAAAGTAAGGATTTCTTATCTGGTGACCTCTAGGATTATGCAGCCGGAGACCATGAATATCAAACAGACCCATTATACCTAGAGCAAAACTTAAAACTGAGCTGGCTGAAAACTGATTTGAGGCTAGTGAGAAGAGATGTCAGGCTTCAGACACAAACATATAAGTGGACTTAAATGTCTGATGTGAAGGTTTACCATTCTCCTTGTGTGGGTATTCAGTGCCCATGATGGAGCATCGTCGAAACACCATCTTATTCTCAGTGAGGGTGCCAGTCTTGTCTGAGAAGATGTATTCAATCTGACCCAGGTCCTCTGTGATATTCAGGGTCTTACACTGCGCGCGACTGTCTGTGCCCTCATCGTACAGATCAATGTCATTAGTGATGAAAAAGATCTGACTGATTTTCACCAACTCAATGGACACATAGAGGGAGATAGGAATCAGGATCTACAGAGAGGAGAAGAACATGATTTGGTTAAATGAGGCAACGGGATGACAGGAGGTAACAGAAGTTAAAGGAAAGTGAAAAGTTGATCAGAAACAAGACAAGGTGTATGGTGGAGAAGAGACTGGAAAAAGTGAAGAAATTAAGGAATGAGAAAAGAGGGATAAAGTAAACCAGAGCGCAGATGGCAGGAGAGAGGAGTAATTCAATGATTTCCAAATTAATGAAAGCACAATCCCAACTGAATACTCTCTCACACACACACGCACACACACACTCCTCCACCTGCAGCAGGATGATCATGGTGAAGAACATGTAGAAGCCAGACAGAGCGGGGCTGTCCAGCTGACCGGTGCTGTAGGGGACCAGGTAAGGGGGCACACCGGGCAGTGCCTGCAGCCATAAGGAGTGACCTGCAGGTGTGAGGACAGGTGGGTTAATCACACCAACCATCGCACAGGGAGCAAAGTTATTTCTCCTCTCTCCTCCCTCTGTTCCTGGTGTGCGTGTTTTTTTTTTTTTGTTAGCATTGGAAATGTAAAAGCATAAATCATTAACCAGGCTGTGTAGAGGTTTTATAGTTATGCAATTTATTACTGACCTACTGCTCCAATGAGACACATGGTGAAGAGAAGAATGACGCAGAAGATGACGTCTGTGTTCAGCTTCCGCTCCAGTTTGCTGCGCTTGTATCTTGCCCCACTGTTGTTGAGCATGGACTTGGTTTCATGGCCTTAAACGTGGCATCAGAAGGTTTTGATTCAATACCAAGTGGCACCAAGGGAAACTGATCTTAACACATGTGCTCTTTGCACTCATTTTCCACTTTACTTATCCAGTTCAACATCTACATCAGTGGATAGGCACTGGACCTTGCACAGATATTCATGGACCCTGGCTAGTGTATCATTATAGCAGCTAATTTGATGTTTTAACTTTACATATAGCCATTTATTATGATGTTATGAGGTCAAAAATTCAATTTGGATTCATAATGTATTTCTAATGTTCTGGCCCTGAACAAACACACAACAAGCTTGAGGATAAAGCAGTGATGCAACAGGAAAAAAAAAGGAGAATATACCTGCATACACCACAAAGCCAACAGCGTACTGTGTGTTTTTCACTTTGCAGCCTCGCAGCAGCAGACTCTCAATCCCAGCACCCACCTTCTCCCTATCAGGTTTCTCACTGCAGCAAGAGAAAGTGAGAAACCTCTTTTGTAGTGTCAGATCTTATTAGATATTCATTATTGTTTAGATATTTCCCCATTAGCAATTCTCCTGCTTTACGCCCATAGCTGGACAGCATGGGTAGATCATGATGACTGAGGAAATCGATTATAGTCTATTACAGCCCCAGCAATGCCCCTGAGTGCATCAGAAAGTGTACCAGGTAGGTTGAAATTAGTTTTGCTTGGCTTCTCTGAAAGATTCCAATTGTCTGAGGAATCTATGTGATTTGTGTGTTTGATACTCACACATAGCAAATGAAATGATTCAGATTGTTGTTGGGCCTTTCACACACCACAGTGCTGTCAAAGCTTTCAGGTACAAATTCAGGAAGCTGTGGAACGACAAAAGGCACAAAGTCAACACAAGATGAATGGAAGCTTTATACAGTGTTGCTTAATAACCTGAGCCTCCAAACTCTGTCCAAAATATGCATTTATGGCATGTAATCCAACAGGTACTGTACGGGCTTTCAGTTTGTCACCACTTAACATATTATGATGATCTTCAGTAAAGTTAAGTAATATGAGGACACATCTCAAGTGTTCTGTTCAAGTGTGTTAAATGTCAGTCAGGAAAAGGAGCAGGAGAAATGCTAGGCAGCACTGAATAAACAGGGATGAAAGTAAAGGAAGAAGAAGTGAAACCAAGAGGCAGCAGCTATTTACCATAATGCAGAGGCCAGGCACCACCCTCCTCTGCTTCAGGTTGGTCTCTCCATCTAGGTTAGCTGTCTCTACATGACACACACCATTGGGGTCTGATATATGCAGAAGCAGGAGGTCTGCAGGGATAATCTCATTGCAAACCACCTTCACAAAATCTCCCACTCGCACATCCTTCCAACGCCTCTTCATGAACTGTTTCTCCTTACTGAAATTAGATGTCAGACACCAGCGATCACAGATTACTTTTCAAAAGAGATAAGTCCCAGGGCAGATTTTATCACATTTATTTTATTTGCAAAATTGACATTATGGGCATATTTTGTCTACATTAATGCAACCAAGTGAAATATTGACACCCTCTTTATAGATTTCAAAAGGATTACAGCAACTGCTTTACTTAAAATTTTTCATTTTTCAAATGAAACACAACAAAAATAAAATAAATCAATGCTGTTGTTCTTGGAGAGCAGCCCAGATGTGTTTTAGAACAAGGTAACTTTTAGAAGAAAACACTCTACATTGAAATGAAGCTGTTCCCACAGTTTCAGTGTGAACTTGCACGTCACGCTGGCTGACGGAGAGCTGCAGGTATGCAACCATGCATGTAGGACCTGCTTGGGTGGCTGCCACCACGCCTTGCTACAGGCAATGTCCAGCCCTTTCTTACCCGCAAATCAAATACTTAAGACTTTGTCAAGTCTTTTTATGCATATACTGATGCTATAATGGTATGTTTGGCATGAGATGCCAAAAGGGACAAATGCATGCTGTAAGGCCAGGGGTGTTATTATGTGATGTTAAGATTATCAGGTTGCACGAACAGGAAAGCTTTACAGTACACTTCTTTAAGTGAGGCAGCCTAATTAACAGTTTCCAGTTATGGGAGGTCCTGGAAGTGTGTAGCGTGTTTATGTCACTGAGTCAGGTACATACAGTATCTGACACAATCATAAATCTTTTAAATTCATGTCATCTTAAACTGTATAGATTACAGTATAGAATAGATTTAAATTTTGGGAAATGGTGTTAGTTAGACAAGACTATTAATTATGAAGCTACAGGCCATAGCAGGTTAACTAGCACTGAGCTAAAACTGAAAATGATGAAACAGCTAGCACGGTTTGTCCAAAGACATTTCTATAAGCTCAGTAATAAAACACATGATGTAAATTAGTAGATAGAAAAAAATGAAACTGTAAACATGATGGTTCAACATTTTATGAAGGAGCTCTACTGTAGCCTAGCAACTGCAGGAAGCCAAAATAGATCCCGTCTATAACCCATTGTAAAATGGCAAATCGCCATTTTTACATGGAGTAAACAAATAAGACTTTTTTGTGAGCTTTAGAAACGCTGGTGAGGGGATTTTATTACATTTGTTTGCAGTTTCCCCTCTTTACAGTTTTTATGCCAAGTTAAATGACTGCTGGCTTTGGCTTCATATTTAACGGACAGCTGTGAGCATGGTATCAGTTTTCTCATCTAACTCTCAACAAGAAAGCAGATACTTTTATTTCCATAAATTCTTTTGCATTTAAGACCTCACATGCATTTCCCAGTGATGTCTCTATTTAATGATCTAGTTCTGCCATCAAATCATTATTTTATGATGGCACGTATGATGGCAGACTTTGGATCAGTAAAATTATACAAAAAAAAAAAAGTTTTACTCTTGTGGTTTTGGCTGTCTTTGTGATCAGGCCTGAGTATCTGTGGTATATTGTGGAGGTAAACCTTACATTTAAGGTGTTAGATAGGCTAATAGGTGTGATACGAGTGATACTGGTACAACGAGTACTGTGGATGTGCAAAACTAAGGTGTTTTGCTGTAAGCAGACAGGAGCAGCCGGTGAGGTGTGCCAAGCAAAACGATAAAATGTTTAACAATACAACAGAAAGACCGGATATTCAGACAGCATTATTAACAACTGGTGTACATGGTACGTATGGTATGTATCAACGCAAGTGGATATGTTTGACAGACAGGATAACCCTGAAAAAAAAATGCAAGAAATTTTAAAACACACCCACACTTTTGTAAAAACAACATGCAGGTGATGGAAAACAAATGTACAATTGTTTTCTTTTTAAAAAAGCTAAATTTAGTTAGTGCAATTGGATACTACGTGTCCCCACTGCAGAGTTAAGAGCACTCCTTCTTCATGTGTGTTGAAACTGGTGCTGTCAGAAGGAATGTCACCTACAGAAGAACAGGGAGCACGTGCAGTCCTAAAATTTATTCTAGCTCCTTCTGGAAACATTTGTATAGTTTTGTTTTTTTTTTTAAATCCCAGCCAACTGATTCTGTTCTAATCTTTACATGCCCAAATGAAGCTTTAGCATCCCCATCTAGTGAGAAAAGGGGGACCCACAAAAGCCCATCCACTGTGTCTCAACTGCTGTTTATCTGACTGCGTTGGGCAGAGACGACTAGTGTCCGCTAACAGGCCCTGAGGGACAGGCATGATCTCCACTGTGTATAGAGTCTGCACTTCATTCCATCAGGACCCCCACCGTGCAGACACACACACACACACACAC